TGGGGTGAAGAGGCAAGGGGGGGGGTGCTCAAAGTCCTTTGGGGAGAAGCTAGATTGCTTCCTGGTCCTGAAATCCTGGATTCTATGTATGTAAAACTTGGGTTTACATCCTGGAGTCCCTGAGTGACATGGGGCTACCCTGGTCTATCCACTTCTCAGATGTTCAGGGTCTCAGGACACTTTCTCTCCCAGGCTGTAGAAGTGCCCTGCAAAGTACCCCCACCTTGTCATAAGGATGCAGGAGAAAGGCACAGTGACCTCACCTCCATAGTAAGCTTGGAGAGCCACCTTCCTTTAGGGATATCACAGGGGACATTAGGCCATTGGTGTGGGGCAGGCTCACACCAGATACCTACCGCTTTAGGGATGCGGTGGGTGCTGGGACATGATGTCGCTCCCTACAGTTCCCAGGCTTGTAGGAAAGGAGACAGACAAGACTGTGCATGCTGCTGGCCTCCCTAAGACAGATGAGAGACTGGAGGAGCTCCAGAAGGAAGGGCAGTTCTATTGCAAAACAAAGAAGGCTTCACAATGTGGGTGCCAGCAAAGCTTCAACCATAGACAGGGAAGATAGATCGTTCAGTTGCCTTAGGTGTCTGGTCAGGGTGAGGCTAGAAAGATAAATTGCAACTACTGCCTAGATCCTGCAGCACACCATAGGATGGATACATCCAGTGGGCAAGGGAAACCAGTGGGGGCTTTGGATCTGGAGAACGGCAAAACCAGCACTTAGTCCTTGGGAATATTGAGTGACTTCACTCTGGGTCATAGCAGAGCAGGGAGCAGCCCTGTGATGGGGTCCTGGGTCATTTGACTCTGGGACAGGACCTAAGCATCGCAAGTTCCCTCTTCGTAATCTTCAAGTCTGAGATGCAGCAGAGGCCTTGGCTATAGAAGATGGGGCCAAAGGCTGGGATTCCCAGCAGCCTACACCACACTGCAGTAGGCCTACTTACACAGGTCACTTGATGAAGTTCTTGCCACAACGCACAGAGCACAGCTAGTGCGAGCCAGCCTTGATCCTACCACTGTTCTGGGAGGTCTGGCCCATGCTATTTGAGAGGAGGCCATCTCTTTCCCAGTGGTACCACTGCCATGCATCCTCAGAGTCCAGGCAGCATCCCTTCCAGTATTGATTGGCAGTGGCATAGCTTCCTGCCATGGTGACAGAGCCTCCACCTAGCCTTGAACAACAGCCTTTTGTTTGTTTCTTTGTCTGACTTATTTTAATTTCATTTGAATCAGGATTTTATGTTGTAGCCAGGGGGTCTTGAACAATCCTTCTGCCTCGGCCTGTTGCTTGCTGGGAGCACAAGTGTGAACTACCGCCCTTGGCGTATAGGAAACTTCTTCTGTAGGCTGACGTCTTCAAGTCCTCCTAATCTGTCCTGACAGGAGGCCACAAAGGGAGTTCCCAGACTTATGATTTGACACTTGCCAGTCCCCTAGCTGGCAACTAACCAGATCCACAAGAAGGGACGAGAAGGTCAAGAAACGGGTTGCTTTCCCTGGGGTATTAGGTTAGCACAAGTACAAGCTAGTGCAGACCCAGAACAGGCAAATATCCCACTTGGTTGAGGTGTCTGGGCCTTTTAGCAACTGCTCTCAGCTGGGTCTTCAGAAGCTAGGCAAGCTTTCTGGTGGAGCAGGGGATGCTATCCCTGGGATCAGTAGATAGTAGATACCTTGCTTCCAAAAGGGGATGCTGCAATATCCCCAATTGTACCTCAGGGCCACAGAGTAAAAGTGTAAAGACCTGTGGGTATTTTGAGCCAAGGGTCTGTTAACAAGCAGAAATGGTTAACATCAGAGTCTCCTGGAAAGGACATGGGCTGGACACATAAGGAAACACTGGAGTGATATAGGGGTCTAGGGTATCATTGTCCGACAGCCTACAATGCCAGGCTCCATCAGAGGCAGCCATTAGAGGTCTTGGGTTAGCCTGTATGAAGATGGCCACTGTATCACATCTCAGTGGCTTCAGTGAAGTCACAATCACCTCGCTGGTCATCAAGGCCCGGCAGAGGACCCTGCTGGGCAGCAGGCCTGCCTCTCCGGAAGCTGTGCAGAGATCGGCGTAGCGAGCCCAGGCGCTTCCAGAGCCGGAGCCTGGGCTCGCTGGGACTCCCTGGGTGATGTGGCATGTATTCCCGGGCCCCTTGACGGCCAGGGTCCAGCGCAGTGGGCTTGCACAGCATCATGAATAGCAGGCAAGAGGCCAAAAGCAGAAAAATGCAGGCCAGGGCAATAAGAACTGGTACAGGGTCGGCAGCCTGGGTGTAAGTCCCAGAAGTGGCCGGAGTCGTAAGGAAGGTTGGAGGGCTGGAGAGGCTGGAGCCCCCTGTGTTCATGGTGCCTGCAAGGGCAGGACAGAGAATCAGGGCAAAGGAACTGCATCCCAGGCAGGGGCAGGAGAGACTCACCTGGAGCATACCAATGAGGGCTGAGCAGTTGGTCATATTCTCATGATCTTCTTGTCACAGTTAGTACAGGAAGGCCCAGAGAGGCACAGTTAGTACAACTGATTAGGGATAGGGCTGGGTCTTGAACCAGGGGCTTATATCTGCTCTACCGCTGCTGCACAGCCATGAAGAGCATAGCGTATTGAAAGCTTTCTGGCATTTTATAATCGGTTCTCGGAAATTGCCATACAGACTTAAGCCTAAAAACCAAAAATCTAATCCCAACTCTATCAGGAAGCCACTTTACAAATCAAGAACAAGTCAGAGTGTAAGATGCCGTGGTAAGTGCTGGTGGGGACCCTCGCAATGGCCTAAGGACAAGGCTGTAGACCAGGGGCCCACACATGTGTTTTGGTGGTTGCTTGGTGTGTTTTTAATTTATCTGCGACTATTTTTTAAAATGAGATTTCCACATCAGGAGTAATAGTGCATGCCTGTAACCCCAGCACTCTGGGGAGGGGGAAAGAATAGGAGTTCAAGGCCAGTTTTGGTTACTTAGGAGATTATACATCTTGAGCTATATGAGACATAGATAGATAGATGCATGGATGGATGGAAGATAGATAGATAGATAGATAGATAGATAGATAGATAGATAGATATCTGAGTGCCATATCACTAGTGGCTTCTCTGATGTCCCCTTTACAGAAGTCACCGGCCCCAGCTGGCCACACTCCCTCATGCCTACCACATACCTATTCCACCTGCCTGGATCCATGAGTACTTCTGTTGCTACTTCCTGAGGCAGCCTAACCTGCTCCCAGGGAAACCAAGACTCAGCATGAGAGGCCAAACCCAAGGCCACATAGGCAAGCAAAGAGGAGAAAGACCAGATGTTCTGACTCCTGGTCCCGTGCCTGTCCCCTACTAGACTCCCAACCCTCTCTGAGTCACTCAGACACACTTGGGAAATATAAACGCAAAGAGCTGACAGAGTGTAGCCAGAAACCTGCCCTGTGACATCATTCACCTTCTAGACATTTCCATTATCCCTTCAGGGGATCCATCCTCTGTGGGGAATGCCACAGACTGTCCTCATAGACAAAGGACCAGGCTAAACTGGATGCCTAGTAGCTGGTAATAATAATTCCAGAGCCTTGGCACGGGTAATGCATGGCCAAAGAAGCTAGATAGCCAATTCCAAAAAGGGCCCTAGCTGACCCCCACAGCCTAGGCTGGCCCTTGGTAACATAGAAATTTTTGCCAGGCTATTCAGGCTTCTCAACTGAGGCAAGAAAAGTTTTTTTAGTTTTTTGGGGTTTTTTTGTTTTGTTTTTGTTTTTTTGTTTTTAAGGCAAACATCCCTGCTATTTAAATATTGGCAGCTAATTTGAAGTTGTCTGAAGCACAGAAGAAAAAGAAAGACAGGTATTACAAAATGCCAGATAAACTTGATTCCAAAAGTTTTTAAATACTGGATGTGCTCCCCAGGCCAATCAAAGCACACACACAGCCTCCGTCCAGCTGACAGGCCAGCGGCTACGCCTTATGCATTGCACAACCCGGTAGAGAAAATTCCAAAGATCCAAACAGAACTCTGATCTTAGAGCCTCACCTGAGGCGGATGGAAGGCAGCTTCCTCTTTCCCACATTACTTGGCCTCTCCCTCAGACTCTGGCACCAAAACCAGGACCACAGGGGAGGCTCGGTTATGCCAAAATCCTGCCTTCAGCCAGGGAATCACAGAGCATGGCCACCCTAGCCGCTTAGCCCCTAAGCCCTTGTCCCACTCGGATACTCACCAGCAACTCCGGGACCTAACTCCTGGCTCCTGGGCACAGCTGACTGAGGGCACCCGGTACTCTCCACCCACCTACCTTCCATCTCTTACCCCAACCCCTCCCATCCCTTGAAGCTTCCCCAAGCTGGAAATTCTGATGCTTGTCTAACTACTCAGGCCCTCCACCCTTCAGGCCTTGGGCCTGGAAAGCCCTCTGAGTGGACAGCATCTATGGATCAGCCCTTCCTGGAGTCAGCTGGAGTAGGGATGGGGCATACCCACTGCCATCCCCCATGGAAAGAAACTAGCAGTCCCTTGGCTCTCAGCACTTGGCTCCAGTAAGGAAAGGGCAGTCCCAGCTGAGAAAGGCCTCCATCCTACTAGCACAGAACCCAGAGAAGCCGTGAGGGCCTCTTCTGCCTCAGCATCTGAGCCACGCTCGTGGTAGTCCATGACTCTGATGTGCTTGAGGCAACCCTGGCTGCTGGTTTCCCTGCTGCCAGCCAGCAAGAACAGCTGATTCTAGAGGACTTGAAGCCCAAGCATGGGGCCCCCTTCCTGCTGGAGCCCTCCACTGAATGCACCTCTCCAGATAAGCTCTGCCTAGAACTGTCTTACTTCCCTTAGAATCCCACAGAGAAAGCGTGACCTTGGCTTACTCATTCCCCTCTACTGGGCCTCATTTCCTTTCTCAGAGCAATAGAAGGACTTCCCAAATCTGAGCACCCCTTCATGTCCTCCCAATTTCCCAGTAAAGGTCTTCCCTACTTCTTTCCTTGGTTTTCTCTATAGTCCCTCGTCACTGGCCGCAGGCCTACCCTTGGAGGTCTGTATTCTCAGTGCAAGGTCGCTCAGCTGTCCCAGGAGGTCCAAGGTGTACCAGCCCGCTGTATTATCCACAGGCAACAGGGCAGGCTTTCTCTCTGTTTCTCCAGCTGAGCCTGGTTTTGTTGGAAGAGTCCTGGAGTGCCTAGGGGAGGGGACAACTGGGAGGTAGGGATGGCAACTGAGTGGGAAGAAGGAGAAGGGAGCCCTCCTGTGTGGCTCGCTCCAGCCTGTCTCCTTGGAGCCCTCTCACGTGTGCAAACGCTAATGACAGCAGGGGGTGGGTTTAACCCCTCGTGGGCCCGGGTCTCCCACCATCCCCCTTGGAAATTTGAATGCTATGGTCGACTATTCAATGCCTGCCAGCCCCCAGGTTACCAGGGAGAGGGTCTGTTAGCAGAGAGACAGCAGGAGTGATGGGCCGGGAGCCTTGCCCCCCAAGACCTCCCCTGCAGGGTCTCTAGGCTCTGTCTTTCCTGGATTCTCAGAGGAGTGTCACTTTTAAGATGTCTGGCTGCAGAAGTGAGGGCAAGGAGCATTTTTCAAATTTCAAAATGCTGGACCGAGGGATGGCCAAGGGCAGGCCATTTACAGTTTGAGTGGAGTGCCAGTCTCTCGCCAACCCTCCCCCTCCTTTCTTCCAAGAATCCCAAACCTCCCTGGCAACCAGCTGCCTGCTTAGGGGGCCTGAGTTTTGTGCAGCTTGTCTAATAGAAGCTTGTATACACGGTAGCAATCACAGCTACATCTAAGGCCTGTAGCCCTTCACTACAAAACAAAGCCTTGTCTCCCTCCCCTGAAGTGGACAAGAGCCTTCCAGTGTACTATGAAACACCGAGAGAGCCTTGGTGACCCAACACGGCCCCTCCCAACAGGTGACAAGTGACTCTGGGGGCCCAGGAGCTTGCGGCAAACCCAGCTTCTGGCTTCCTTGCTGCCAGCCAGCCGAGAACAGCTGGTGTTGGAGGAATTACTCCTGAAGCCCAAGCTCCAGTTAGCCAGTGAGTTAGTGCTGGGTGGGAACCCAGTGTCTCCCTAATGAAAGGACAAGAGCCCTTGCCACGCGAAAACCTCCCCCCCTCCCCCGTCTCTCTGCTGACTTGATCTTTGCAAGGAGAACCCCTCCTCAGTCCTCCTTTCTCAAAGTGTGTGCAATGAGTGAGGATAGGAAAGTTTGCAGTACAGCTTTTGAGTGCCAAAACAGACTCAAAAACAGTTGCGTCATCAAAAAGCTCACCCCAGCATGGACGATGACTACCAAAGATGTAGCTTCCTGCCGAATTTTTCAGCAGCTCCACCCAAGTGTCTTTTCGGTAATTACTGTCCACTGTTTAAAAAAAAAAAATGTTTTCCTGCTCAAGGCTAACAGCAGCAGCAGTAATCTGTGAAATATAATAATGCCTGGAAGGCGATTTGACAAGAGCATCACATCCGTGGAACAAAACAACAGCTGTGGCCTTGCTATGAAGGCCTATGATCTTCCCAGCCACAAAGTTTTGCCCTGATTTATAGAACCAAATGTTCTGTCTTGTGGCCTGGGCCTTAAATCCAATAGAAAAGCACCTCTAACAGCCATGCCACTATTATTCCAGAGGACACATTTTGGCCTGGCCTGTAGCCCATAGAGAGTGCATAACGATAAGATTGTGATCTTTCTCTTAACAGCCTCCACGGTGCCTTCCAGCTCTACAGAAGTCAGGCAAAGGGGAGGGAGCTCCCAGCTCTAGCTAAGGGAGCTCCTAGCTTGCCTTCTTCCACTGAGGTATTGAGTATCTCCAACAATTAGAATTTCCCACCTATCAAGGGTATCCAACCAACAGCAGCCACAAGAGCCTCCTGTGTGGAAGATCTCGGGGACCTCCCTGCGTTCATGCACTGGGATAATTCATCAGTAACCTTATGGCTTCTGGGCATGCCCATTTCCACCCTTGTATAGCTTTACCCAGACTCTTTCGCTGCTGTTTTTACTGTTATTCCAGATGCTTTTCCAAATCTGTCAGACACTCAGGATTGGCATTCTGCAATGAGACTTTTTCACAGAGGCTGGGCATGATCTCTGGAGACCCATGGCTGTCCACTATAAACATGCACCAGGGGCTGTGTGGTGCAGCAGCAAGGGGGACACCAAAAAAAAAAAGTTAGCAAGGTCCAATGCATCATGGGAAGATCTTGTCACTATTGTCAATTGTTTCTTCAAAAAAAAAAAAAAAGGCAACGTTAGGCACCACATCATGGATGGGGGCTGTACCCTATCTGTCCCTCCAGAAGGCACATTCTCCATAAACCACCCTAGGGCCTCATCTTGGGACACTGACATGGGGTTGCCATGTATTTCCCTTCCCATGATGGCCTTAATAAGGATAGCTTGGGCCTCTTGGCTGAACTGGCAGTGAGGGTGAATGAGGTCCATGTTGTCCTCTGCCATGCCTACTAGATGACCGACTCTCTGGTTCAGTATCAGTACCACGGCCACTGTCCATTGGCAACACCTGGCTACTAAAAGGGCCCCCAATCTCCATGAGGTTTTTGATATAGAATCTCCTTCTACAGTCCAGGCTAGCCTAGTACTTGCTACGTAGACCAGGCTAGCTTTAAAATTATGATAGTCCTCTGGGTCTTGCATGCTATACTGGATTGCAGGCATATGTCACCACTGCAGCCCAGTACCGTTTCTTGAAGGGGGAAATGTGCACAGTTTATTCTGAGAGGATAGCCGCCCATTCATTGGACAGTCTTCTTCACCTGTTTCACTCTGCCATTTGCTCCTTCCTCTCCCATGAAGCCTCTAGAAGCTCTCAGGCGCAGCATCTGCCCTTCCGTCGATCCCTTCCCTGGTGCATTTGGCTCAACACAAATCTTTGCACACTTGCTCTTTGGGTGACCTGGAGATAGCCTTCTGGCCCTCTGTCATCCCTTCATCTTTGCTTTAATACCTTACAGAGCCAGTTTACATGTTGGTCTAAATCATTTAGATCCCCCCAGAGCTTTTCCTACATTATAAAGGTCACACTCCACCAGGAAGCTCAGCAAAGACACTAAAGCCCCAAACCTGTCCCTAGGAAAATCAACTTCTTTTGTAACTCTCTGGTAAACACAGAGCTCAAAGCCACAAACTGGCCATTAGTCACCACTTCTCACATGCCTAGTCATTCCCTTAGCAATGTCTGTCATTCCTCTTTGCCCTCCAGTCTCTGCCAGCCACGAAGGTCTGAGACATAACCAAGGGTCCCTATTGGCTTGTCTGAGGGACTTGTTTTCCTCCTGTCGTCTTGGTCTGTGCCGTGTTCCGCTCAAGGAGGAAGAGTGTTTATATCACTTAGTTTCTTATTTCCACACAACTCGGGCCTTTCCCATCCGCCTGTGTGTCTCATGGCCTCACGCATAAGACGGAGAGATTCTTTTATTCCTTGTATAAACGTCTTTCCCCTGAGGCTTGAGAGATGGCCTGTGCTAAGAGCACTCACTGCTCTTCTAGAAGCCCAGTATTTGCTCCCTAGCACCCCTAGCACTCACGTCTGGTTGCTCCCAGGATCCAATACCCTCTTTTTCTGACCTCTGCAGGCACTCACATACTCGTGGCATACCTGCATGCATACATTCAAAAATAATAATAAACAAATCTTTCCCGATTCAGTCAGTTCAAAGGCTAAGTAGTCCCTGATTATCATGGTTTATCATGCTGGGCCTTAATTAAGGCCCCTGCCTGCATACTGGACCATCGATTTTCCCCCCGGTTTCTCTGTATTAAAGATTTGGCCGAGGAGCATTTTCTCTCCCTTCCATGTCACTCCTCCTTAGTCTCCTGTCCCTTCCCTGGGTCCCAAGTCCTTGCCTCCCAGGAAGCCTATTGATCGCAGCTCTAACTTGCATTCTTTCTCCCTTGCATCCTGCCATCCGTAGGAGGCAGCAGGCTAACACCTCCATCTCGTTCTCCCCTTTCAGCATCTTTCCTCCCAAATCAAAAGCATCCACATCGTAATCCCTCCCTTACACAGGCAAGTTCTTCTTGGACAGATGTCTGAACTGCAGTTGCATGTTGCAAAGGCTTCCATTGCCCCTCAGATGGATCAGCCTCTGAGGTACATCTTAGCACCATGACAGATGTGGTCTGCTGTCCCTGTATGGGTAGTGTCTTAGTTACTTTCCCAATGCTGTAATAAAGTACCATAACGAAAGCTTCTTAGGGGTAGAGGGCATATTTTGCTTTACAGTTTCAGAGGGATACTAGTCCATCAAGGCAACAGGCAGGGAAGGCGTGGTGACTGAAGCAGGAGGCTGGCCAGTCACACTGCGTCTACACTGGGAAAGCTGAGTGAATTAGAAGTAGAGCTAGGCTATAAAGCCTCAAGTCTAGTCCCCCAGTGATCCACTTCTCCCAGGACATGGCACTGCCTCCTAAAGTTTCCACAGCCTTCCCAAACAGTACCACCATCTGGGGGATAAGTATTCAAACACAAGAACCTGGGGGGGGGGGGGGCATTTCATCTTCAGATTGGAATAGGTACCAACTCTGTTGCCAGGCTTTCCCCAGGGAGATATATACAAACATCTCTTCACCCCAGAGAGGACACTGATGATAAAACAAATGATTCAACCCAATGCTACCTTGGTGAAGCAATAGTTTATTTATAGATCCCAGGAAGTTCTTCAGTAGAACTCTCTGCAGGGTGGTCAGGGAGCTCCAGGGATGCAGCTTTTAAACATCCTCACCCATGCTAGGGTAGGCTTTTCAGCGATACAGCTTCTTCACAGTCACCCAAGTGATGTTCCTAAGATGTCACGAGCCTCACAGGTAGGGGATCATGGAGGTATGGAGTGGCCTCTTCCAACCCCGGGCCAGAGGGTGGTAATGAAATATCCCACATGTGCCTCTGTACCCCATGAAGAGGGGATGGGACGGTCCTGGTGCCAGCATAAACCATAGATAGTAGGGTGTCCTTATGAACAATAAAAAGGATGCACACTTAAGCCTGGGGTTGGGGGAGCTGCAAAAACAGATTCCCCCCCCCCACCCATGCGTC